CTGGGAGCGGTTCGGTGAGGTAAACGGCAGGGCTGTACTGCCGGCTGAGCTTCCTGTGTTCTGATGGCTCGCCACGGCCAGGCCTGCAATGGGGAATGCAAAGTTAAGTCTGTGGATTCATCAAATAATACCGTACACAGACACACACTCACACACACACACACACACACACACACACACACACACACACACACACACACACACACACACACACATATATATATATATATATATATATATATATATATATATATATATATATGTGTGTGTGTGTGTGTGTGTGTGTGCGTATGTGTGTATTTGCACATACACAAAAACACGTATACACACAAGCATATAGATTATCATAGTACTACAAAACCCTTAAACAAGAATATCTGTAATAATATAATGGAAAGGATACGTGTCTGTTCTTAGATACTAATTGTTTAGCATGATTGGCAGAAACCATCGTAACATGTTATCAAAACCAACTCTATTGGAATTAGATTAATAGAATGGTAAATAAATAAAACAATAAATAAATAAATAAAAAATAAAACTAATAAGGAAAATATCATAGATGCTGAGGCCTTCGTATCTGTATAAGGGATTCTACTTACCCCTCAGCGAAGAACCGTCTTCTCTGCTCGAGCATGAGTTCCTCCAAACGCTCTCTCTCCAAATCCTCCTCGTTTTCTTCGATAATGACGTCATCATCGTACTCGTCCAGTTCCAAACTTACGAAACCATCATCGACAAAGGAATCCTCAAAGGAAGCCTCTACCATGAACTCGTCCTCGTCGTCGAGGAAGCTCTCGGAATCGGGGTCAGACGCGTCGGAAACCTGTTCGGGGGAGGCTTGGCTGCTGCCCGAGGTACTCCCGCCCTCCGCGCTCCCTTCGCCCCCGCCCTTCTGGAGCCACTCGGAATAACCCAGGTACTCCGTTTTCTGGCTATCGCTCTCTGTGCTACTGCTTCCTTCATTCTCCTTCTCCCCTTCCTTCTTCACCAATTCACTGCCGGATTCTTTCACGTAAATGACCCACTGGAGATTACTCGCTTCCTTTTCCGCATTTGTTTCTAAGGCGTCACTTCTAATTAGCTTGGCCGGTTTGCAGCCACTCGACGGCGAAACCGCTTCGGCAGATCGCAGTCTTACCGATTTGATGCTACACCGACTCTCGCTACTACTGTCACTGTCACTACTTTTATCTGAACCACTAACCTCATTTACCTGCACTACCGTCTTTTTCTGAACGACATCATCTACTTTTCTTATAGTTCCCGCACTCACACTACCGTGCCCGTTTTCTGTAAACTCTTCGCTCTTCCCACTTTCTGCGAGATCGAAATCAAACTCGTTTTCTTCGAGAATTTCAATCGAGCTGGATGCAACAGCGTCCATATAAGCGCCGTTTTCCTTTTCGTCGGTAGCTTCGTCTGACCGAATGAATGTCATGTTGTCCTCTCTCTTGGCCTTATTTCCTAATGTGTTATCAGTATCTTCGTCAGGGTCAGTGAATGACAGTTGGAAGTTTCGAGAGAGCTGTTCACTTGTGCTCATATCCTGCTCACAGGGTTGAGATTGCCCATTTTCCTCGGTGCCTTCCTGATCACCGTGTCTGTCTAATCCCTCGCCGCTTTCAACGGATTCGAACGAGGACTGGATCGCGCACTCAAACCTCCTCCTTAGATTCACGGCTGCCTGAACAATGCGAAGGAAAGTGCACGCCATAGTGGAGAAATGGAGTCGTAAAACAAGAAAATGAAAACAAAACACGACTGTGGAGATGACAGTTCTTCCTGATAATACATTGGAGCTCTCTTGTTGATCAGTTTACTGCGAAGATTAGTCGTTCGTTACTGCGGCAATGGCATCGCCGCACTCATTTTCTTTTCCTTTTTTTATTTCGCAGACATATCTGACGAATATTTTTTTTTTACACTACATTTTTCTTTTATTATGATTTTCCTGGCATTGCACAAACTGCAAGTAAAAAACACATTAGCCTTTCACTAGTAATTTAGGTACCAGTTAGGTCAATTTACGTTCGCTATTGATGAACGAATAACAGACAGATGCCATCCACAAACATCAATTTTCCGACTTATTCCGGCTGTGATAGGCATGTTATATTTTCGGCGTGTAAACCCCAACAATAAAATATTAGTTACAATTTCTATATTACGAAAGACATCGTAGTCGCCAACTGACTTTAGATCATGTTATTGTTGTGCCAAACGAGACCTTTATCTATTCAGCATATTACTTCAGCTCTCCAAATTTAAGCGTTACGTAATTATGTAAACAAATGCAACACACAACATAATAATGATCAATTTTCCACTATGCCCCCCCCCCCCACCGCCACCAAAAAAAAGATGAATATATGAAATAAATATGACCGGACGAGGCACTAACAGTTACACTGCTAGGAATCTAATAGAGAAAGCGTGTGTGTGCGTGTGTGTGTGTGAGAGAGAGAAGAAATTGAAGAAATATGTGTAAACATAAACATACTCCCCCAAGAGAGAGAGAGAGTGAGAGAGAGAGAGAGAGAGAGAGAGAGAGAGAGAGAGAGAGAGAGAGAGAGAGAGAGAGAGAGAGAGAGAGAGAGAGAGAGAGAGAGAACGAGAGAAATTCAAGAAATATAACATCCCTTCTATAAACTCAGTAACGGGCATATAAACGAGACTATAAACTGTTTCCTTTTTCCATTGACACGACAAAGAAAGATATAACATTTTCCTGCTCAGATAACGTACCATATAAACCATACACCATCTTTCCTAAGTAGCAGAAATTATACGGAAAAAAAATATATTTTCTTCCACGTGAACGATAAATAACACTCACACGGAAAACACACATGCTTCACACACACACACACACACACACACACACACACACACACACACACACACACACAAACAAAACACACAAACACACGTTAACAACAAAAACAAACCAACAAACTATGCATTTTCTTCCACAAAACAACAGAAAAAAAGACAACAAAATCTCCACGTCTTTCTCGGATTCATTTTTTCCCTTATTGCCTTTTCCGTTCTATTTCGAGAACCAGGTAAAGAACCACAGGCCTAAAACCTACCCGAGGGGAATATGATGCAACCTACGCTCCAGCTCCCTTCCCGGATTTTTTCTTACAGCGATAGACAGATAGATTGATTGGAAATATTGGTTGATGGGTCAGATGCAAACTAAGAGGATGGGAAAGATTGAGGGGTTGAATTGATTAGAAGAGAGATTGTTAGATGGGTTAAATTCAGACTGAGAAATCGGTGGGTTTTTGATGGATGGATGGAATGAATGGTAGATAGATTGAATAGATTGGTAGATAGGTTGGATAGATTGATGGATAGATTGGTTAGAAAAGACTGGTTGATGGATAATATATAGCCTGAGAGATCAGAGAGATTGGTAGACGGGTTGGATAGACAGATTGGAAAAGTTTTTAGATAGATTAGGTAGACAGAGATTAGGAAGATTGGCGGGCTGATTAAATAGACTAATATATAGACTGGTATGTGGGTTATTAATAGGTTGAGAGATCGGAATATTGGTAGATAAATTTAACAGACCAACAGACAGATATACTGGAAAGACTGGTAGATGGGCAGGATAGACTGGAAAGTCTAGCTGGAAAGATTAATAGATGGAGTAGATAGACTGAGAGATAGATAGCTTAGAAAGAGTGGTAGATTGATTAGACAGACTGAGAGACAGATTAATAAGAAAGACTGGTAGATGGATAAGACATACTGATAAACCGGTTAGATATAGGTAGACAGATTAGATATAGATACAGATTAGATATAGATATCAGACTGATTGGAATGACATAAATTATATATTAGATTAATTATATGGGACTGATTAGACAGGCTGATTGAAGAGATTAAGAAATTAGTTGATAGACGTTGATAGATTAATTGAATAGATGGATAGTCTAAATAATCTATATGAACTAATTATATCAGACATATCAGTAAATTAGATAGCTTGATTATTAAGTACATTGACTGGTAGATTGAAAGATTGAGAGATAAATAACGACTGATAAATAGATAGACAAGTACTGTGGATATGAATGTGTGTGCGTATGTGTGTATGTGTGTATGTGTGTGTGTGTGTGTGTGTGTGTGTGTGTGTGTGTGTGTGTGTGTGTGTCTGTGTGTGTGTGTGTGTGTGTGTGTGTGTGTGTGTGTGTGTGTGTGTGTGTGTGTGTGTGTGTGCGTGTGTGTGTGTCTGTGTGTGTGTGTGTGTGTGTGTGTGTGTGTGTGTGTGTGTGTGTGTGTGTGTGTGTGTGTGTGTGTGTGTGTGTGTGTGTGTGTGATACCTACTCATACCACAGCAAACATGAATAATCATGCATAAACAAGTTGCAACAAAAGTGCTGATTTTTTTTTTTTGGGGGGGGGGGGGGCATTTTACTCTGAGACACGCCACCGGAGAAGACTGAAGTAAGATCGAACATTATTATTTTTTTATTTTTTAGTGAAACTTGGTTGAGGAAAGAAAGACGTATTTGACACAGTTGTATAAGAAAACGACAATACCAAGCGTTTTTTTTCCAGTCCATGAGAGGAAGATAACGATAAAGGCCCTCGACGTGACAGAAAGCAAGACTCGAACCTGAGTGAAGAACCAACTCGACTGGAGCAATTTCCCTGCGGATTTTGACCAATGGAAGGGCAATCCCGACAAATTTCTGTAGCGAATAATAACTGGTGATGAAACCAGGACTGAACAGTAAGATCCTGAAGAGATACTACAGTCGAAACACTGATTGGCAAGAGGAGAAAGAAGACCCACCAATTGCAAAGCAGGACTTACGGGTTGCAAGGTTATGACAGTGTTTTGGGTTACAGAAGACGTAATGCTCCTGGACTTTCTTGAATACGGGTAAAGTAGCCTATTATGCACAAGTTTTGCATAAATAATACAGTGCAGCTCGAGCAAACAAAGCGACCTTCGTGAAGCCGCGGGAAAACCCACTTTCACCATGACAACGCAGCTTACGAGATTAACATTGCAGAAATCTGGACTGGATGTAATCAGTCCTTCAACATGAATCTAACTGAAGAAAAACACCAAAGGCAGACATCATTCTTCCATAAATGAGGTAAAAAAAAAACCTGTGATATATCAATCCTCCAACATGAATCTAACTGAAGAAAAACACCAAAGGCAGGCAGCATTCTTCCAGAAATGAGGTAAAACAAAACAAAACAAAAAGCTGTGAGATATTGGTTCCTACGGATTTTGACCAATGGAAGGACAAGCTCGAATATTTCCTGCAGCGAATAATAACTGGTGATGAAACCAGGACTGAACAGTAAGATAAGGATGGTATGTTTCTTAAAAATGGCAAGGAAAGATATCACAAATTCTAAGAGTGTGTAGACCTCGGGGTTCGTGTGTGGAAAATGACCAAATCCTTTTATTTTGGTATTTACTCCACACTTTTCGGGAATTTAATGAACGCTCGTATATATATATAATGTGTGTGTATATGTATATGTATGTATATGTATATATATATATATATATATATATATATATATATATATATATATATATATATATATATATATATATATATATATATATATATATATATATATATATATATATATATATATATATATATATATATATATATATATATATATATATATATATATATATATAAAAACCCCGACTAGAAGACATTATCAATATCATTAGTAGCAGTAGTTGTAGTAGTAGTAGAAATAGTTGTAGTAGTAACAGTATCATCATTATCTTTTTCATTATCATCTTTATATATATATATCTTTTTTTTAATGAAAAATAAGGATAATAATAAAAAAAATGTATAATCATTATCACTACTGTATGACGGATGATGATGATGATGATAATAATAATAATGATAACAATAATAATAATAATTATTATTATTATTATTATAATTGCTATTATTATTATCGTTATTACTATTATTATTATTATCATTATCATTGTTATTATTATTATCATTATCATTACTATCCTCATTGTTATTTTCATTATTACCCTCATTATTATTGTCATTATTATAATCACCATCATCATCCTCGTCATACACGACTCTCATCATCGCCAAAACAATTACCTCCATTACTTATTCTTCCATTTCCTCTTTATCAAGTTCATTCACACACCCATTAGTCGCACGCCTCTTATCTCCTTCTCTTCCACTCGCTTTCATCGGGATATTAATAGAGCTGAGTGTCTTAAAGCAGACCCAGGAGATCACAGGCGACGAGAGTTGGCGAGTGGCGAATTCCACACCTGGTCCCTTGCCTTACAGATTTTCCCTAGGGCTTTCCCCTTCCCTTTGGGTCCTATGTCCTATTTTCCTTTCCTTTTTCTTAATTTCGGGAGGGAAAGGGGGAGGTGTTTGGGTCGTTTGGGTTTTCGTTTTTTTTTTTTTCTTTCTTCCTTTCTCCTCCTTAAGGGGTTGGTTATCCACCCGATTCGCCTTAAATTTGGAATCTCAGGTTTTTTTTTTCTACTATTTTTTCTCCTTTTTCTGACCCTTCTTTCGTTCTTTTTTTTGTTTTTTTTTTCTCTTTCCCTTCTGAGCTTAATTTTCCTGTCTCTCTTCCCCTTCCAGGATGTTTTTAATACTCCTCCTAGCTTTCATCTTATATTCCCTTACCTTTCTTTCCATGCTTTTCTAATCTCTTCTCTTACCTTTCATCACAAGCTCTCTCTATTCCCCTTCTTACCCCCCCCCCCCCCGCTACTTCCCCAAGTTTTATACCTTTCTTACCTTTCACCCCAACTTTGCCCCCAACATCTCCCTAATGTCTTCCCTTCCGCACCCCTCCCCCCTTGTCTTGTCCTCCTTCTTCCTTCTCCCTTTCACCTTTTTCGTTTTTCCAGCACAATGGTCTCTCGCTGTCGTCATTTTCTCGTCTCCCTGCCAACGCGTG